GGCAGGAGACCCCAGCATTTGATATCACTGATGTTCAGGACCAGGGTAGGTTCTGGGAAATTCATATGTATTCTCCTCTAATAATCATCCTGTCCTCTTTAGTCGTCTGATGAGCAGAGCAGCACAGAGCTCTGAGTCTGGACACGCTCAGTGGGTGATGTACCTCACTCCTGGGGAGGGGCTTGTTAGCTATCCTCCAGTCTGGGGGCAGGCTCTTGAGTAATAAAAGCCCCCGCAGTTCCCAGAAGGAGTGAAGGAGGCAACGCATATCCTTCTTGTGCTTCTGGTAGAGAAACTGATGCTCCCAGTTTCAGAACATTTCCATATTGTGTGATAAGTTTTACAGAAAAGTTGGGAGGGATATGTTTCACTTTTCTATCCTGGAGAACAATCTCTGGGAAGCTGTCTCTCCTCCTCTTCCCTTTGGGGCACTAGTGTTAATATTGAAGGTGCAGGCGGATGCTTGGCAAGGGCTGGGAATGCATGTGGAGGTATCGCCCTTTCACCTTGCTGATCTTTCACTCAGCATGAGGATTTGGTATGGATACAGTTATCACAGATGCAGTCCTGTGAGCAGGTGAGTTCTTCAGTAAGTTGTCATTCCATGTGTAGACACACCAGCCATGGTAGGTGTCTAGGATTTGAACAGTGTAAAAATCTCAGGGGCAGGGCTTCCCTGATGGCGCAGTGGTTAAGAATCCGCCCGCCAATGCAGGGGACACGGGCTCAAGCCCTGGTCCAGGAAGATCCCACACACCACGGAGCACCTAAGCCCGTGAGCCACAACTACTAAGCCTGCGCTCTAGGGCCCGCGAGCCACTACTACTGAAACCCATGTGCCTAGAGCCCGTGCTCCGCAACAAGAGAAGCCCATGCAGCGACGAAGACCCAACGCAGCCAAAAATAAATTAAATAAATAAATTTATTTTTAAAAAATCTCAGGGTCCTGACTTTGAAAATACTCCAAGGTCAGAATAGCACCTTACTGAGCTGAGATGAAATTGGGAAGGTCAGAACAAGCAATTCACCTGGCTTCGAATAATCCTGGTTTGAGGCTGCCCTGGGCTCAGGCTTGGTGTCCTGCCTTCTGCTCACATAAAAGTAGCCTGAGGACTGACACCTTTTCCCTGCCTGAGTGTTTTCCTTGCAGATTCTAAGTGGGGAGACAGCCGAGCAGAGAAGATTATCCCACCATTGCAGCAAAACGATCCACCTCCTCCTGAAGGACGCACGGAGCTGGGAACCAGTGGCTTCTTTGGGCTTCTAAGGTAGGATAGACCTCCTGCCATCGAACTGAGACCCAGGGCAGTCTAGCTCCAGAGCCTGCCCCACTGAGTCTCTCAGGGCAATTAGAATACAAAAGAAAGCAGATTACCTGCATAATCTCTGTTTTTTGCGGGATAACTGATGGAAATGAAGTGAGCATTAGGGCCCTAACTGAACTTAACAAAGACTGTGTCTTGTTCATTTTTACACAATCTACCCCACCCCGATGTGTCCAGCATTGGACCTGATTCCACAAATGCTGCTTAGACAGAAACTATTCTGATCGTGCTTGCGTTATTCAGATGATTTCGTTACCAAAATTTTTCCATTCTCCCCTCTGAATCTAGGCTGTCGTCAGAGTCCTTTTTGCAGAGTACAGTTAGCAAATCCCTTTCTCTATCTAGAGCTCAGCCATACCATTGCAATTGTTCTTCTTTATTTCCACCTCCCTAGTATACTCTAACTTGGGTACCTTTTCAAATGCTGTTTCAGACTTGAATTTCCATTCAGTGGTCTCAGAGCAGAAATGCCCTAGCTAACAGTGGAGCCCTGATGGGACCTGGGAGAAGGGAAGTGGACCTCTAAAGTCTCAACCTGCTCTGCTCTTCTTCCTGCAGCTCTCTCTTCCCGTTTCGGTATTTCTTCAGAAGGAGCAGCCAGTGAGCCTCCTAAATGCAGCGGTGGGAAGAGGGTTTGTCTTTC